AAAATCATGGACTACTGATGGCCACAGTGCTTTCCATGAAGAATTGAGGGATCTAGTAGAGACTTCTTGCCATGAGGACACAATCAATTTTACAGCCACAAGGATGTTAAACTGTCTCTTCCACAACTGTGACAGTGTTAGATCAGGATCAGTGGTAGTTGCCTGATGACACCTCCTGAACATTTTCTTCATGTACAGCATCATAAAGTTGCTGATCACATTCTGGTCCATTGGCTGTATGATTGATGTAGTGTTGGGAGGCAAAAACAACACTTTCACAAAGTCAAATTGAGACTCCAAAGTGCTGGTAAGTTGAGGGTCATGACCAGGGGCATTATCCATGAGGAGAAGAGCCTTTAAAGGGAGTTTATTGGTGGTTAGGTAGCTCTTCACAGAAGGGCAAAACACCTCAACAGCCCATTCATTAAAGAGCTGTCTTGTTACCCATGCCTTACGGTTGGACTTCCAATAAACTCCAAGCCGTCCTCTTACCGCTTTTTGTTGCTTGAACACCCTGGGGTTCTCAGAGTGGTAGACAAGCATAGGCTTCAGTCGGAAATCCCCTCAAGCATTGGCACCAAGCAATAGAGTGAGACGGTCTTTCATGGGTAAAGAGGCTTCATCTCTGGTGATGAATGTCCTTTTGGGCATCTTTTTCCAGAACAGCCCAGTTTCGTCCACATTGAAAACTTGCTGTGGAAGATAATTTTGTGTATCCACCAGTTCTTTAAATTCTACTAAAAATTTTGCTGCCCCTTCCTTATGAGCACTGGCAGCCTCACCATGCCTAACAACACTGAGATGTCACTCCTTTTCTTGAATTTTTCAAACCAACCCTTGCTGGCCCTAAAATCCTCAAACTTTGTGCCTGAAGAACCAGGTTGATCTTCCTTTAAATGTTCGTATATTTCCCTGGCTCTTTCATAAATAAGTTCAGTAGAAACTGAATCACCTTTCATCTGTTTTTCCCTAATCCAAATGAGAAGTAACCTCTCTGTTTCTGCTATTACGGATCTACCTTTGAACACTGGTAGATTTGTCTCTCACTTTCACTTCCTGGAATTTGTCTTTCTGTGAAAGAATTGTCGACACAGTTGATGTCAACATGCCATATTCTTTGCTAAGCACATTTGTTCTAATGCCTTCTTCATGTTTTTTAATAATTTCCTGTTTCACCTGGATTGAAATCGCTTTTCTTGATTTCTTGGTGTAAACAGTCAGAACAGTCCCACCACCTGTTGTCTCTCGTGAAGCAAGCATATAAATTAAAGAAAATACTTGCAGTGTGTTTAATATATTTCAGTATGTTATAAATAAATAAATAAACAAATAAATCGGTAAATCCATTTCAAGTAAATGAAACAATTGTATTCGACACCGACATTAGTTCCAGTTAAATAACAGACGTTTAAGTGAGTCACTAGTGTTTACACAACACCAACCGGTAACATTTGATGCCATGACTCGAAGTGAATTGGCCTTATTTTAAAAAAGCATGGATGTGTAAACAGCACTGGTCAATGGGATGGTTGGTAAAGGACTACTGGGTCAGTAAGCTCCCAATGGTTAAGTGTCACATTTGGGGTACCGGTCTTATACAGCGAATAGGGCTCAAAAGCTACTTTTTAAATGGACATTTTTGGGGTCGTCTTATATACCTCGTCGCCTTGTAGGCCGAGATATACGGTAAATGAAATAACAGACCATATGGGATTAATTGAAATAGAGACTGGGCCCACCCCCAAACTTCACTTTTTCTGACACAATACCCATGTTGTAGTAAAAATAACATCTTAATTTTATGATGGTATGCACACACACATAATATAAAAGAGAAATATTAATAAGAGAATAATATACTGTACCAGGTAAAAGAAAAATCAAGGTTTAACACTTACGTTAACTTAGGTTAGAAAAATCAAGGTAAGGTTAGTTTTAACACTTACGTTAGTAGAAGAGATGGATCGGCGTACGGGAATGGTGGCTGGTTCCGAGGCAGAGGGCAGATCACTGGCCCTCAGGTGAATCACCATCACTATCCACCATAGTTGTCAGGGCCTCCCTGACAAATCCCTCAAAGTCACCATCACTGTCACTATCACTGGCATGGGCTGGCTGTGGTGGGTTACAAGCGAAGAAGTCTGTGATGTTACGCCGATGGCTAGTGTTGATGTTATGGAAGACTTCATAGTGGTTATGGTCAGGGTCGTTGGAAAGGATGAGCTTCAGTTTCTCTGCACACTCGATGGCATCCTTAACATTACCATGCGTTAACTTGTGTTCTTCTCGGGATGACGCACCGCCTGTCTCTTCACTGACGCAATCGTCTTCTAACATCTCGTCGGCAGTCACCTCAGGATCCCTTTTCACCTCCATAATGTCGTCGTTGGTGGTCTCGGAGAAGCCTGCAGCTGTAACACCCTGCGCAGCTTCTCTGGCAAGTCCACTGCCACTGCAACAGACTGAACCTCACCAGTCACAGGTGGACTCTGCCTCCCACCTGGGATACCTTGCAACACATGCCGCCATGCGTGACGAATCGTTGCTGCAGACAGCTGATCCCATGCCTCCACCAAGAAGTCAACAGCTTTCTTGACGTTAAATTTCTTCCAAAACTGTTTGACGCGAACTTCTTGATCCGCCAACTTTTGTTCCTCGTCCTCGTCGCTCTGGCTATCGGTGTCACCCAGGTTACGCAACTCATCCTTAGTGTTGGTACAGTTGTTCATGAGCTTAAACTTCTTTGTAGAGAATGCAGCCTTAACGTTGCCTATCAACTCCTGGCCATGGGCTGGATTAACGACGTAGTGTTGGGAGGAAGGAAGACCACTTTTACATTGGGGTGACGACGCAACAGTAGGGGCGAGTGTCCTGGTGCATTGTTAAGGAGCACCAAAATGTTGAATGGAACATTCTGTTGCTCGCAGAATTTCTTGACGTTGGGAACGAAACAGTCGTCAAACCAGGAGAGGGACAGAGCAGAGAACATCCACGCCTTATGTGCGGTTAGCCAGTGGACATTTAGCTTGGTCACGTCCGTGTTCTTGTAGGCGTGCGGCTTGCGGGCTGTATGGATCACCGATAACTTGAGTTTACAGGTACCGGAGGCATTGGTGGTAAACAAAACGGTGATGCACTCCTTCTGCAACTTCCGGCCCCAACACTTGCTGGCAGACTTGACAAGGAAGGTCTTGAAAGGTAGCTTTTTCCAAAACAGACCGGATTCATCCACGTTGAACACCTGGTCGTCGGTGTACTGTCCTTCCTCCATAATCTCACGTAAAAACGGAGGAAAATCACTAGCCGCAGCACGGTCAGCACTAGCTTCTTCACCACCAATGTTAATGTTGGTGATCTTGTTCCTCTTCTTAAACCCTTGCAGTCACCCAGAGGAAGCATTGAAGGGTTCGGGCTCTGCAATTCCCATCTTACATGCCACTGCTACATACAGTTCACGTGCGTACTCTTGAACCAACTGTGTGTCCACCGCCATGTTCCGTCGTGCCTGACGAATCAAGTAGCTCACAAGTAAATTCTCCGTCTTGAGAAGCACCTTGTTCTGGCAGTACTTCAACATTGAAGGACCTGCAGACTTTGTGATGTTCATGTGTTCTTTTATCTTGGATGCATCCTTCTTGATCGTCCGGATCGTAGATTCGTTAACACCATGCAACATTTGATATGTTATTATTACCACCACGCTATGTGTACTATCCCAGTATACATCACACACACACACCCTTCAACACCACCCACACACCCCCAACACCACCCTCACCATCACCCAACATCACACACACACACCCCAACATTACACTCCTCAACAGCCACCCACACACACTCCTCAACAGCCACCCCCCCCCCCTCCACACACATTCCAACACCACTCACACATCCCCAAAAAGGCAATTAAGACAGCAAGCATGAGGAGTGAAGGTCTTATTGTATGACACGTATGTGTGTGTGACTGCGTGGTACCAAGTTAAATATCAGCTGTTGAGGAGTGCTAGCCAACACTCATTTCCACTCCATCTCTCTAATTACCCACACCTTTCTGCTTTCTCACTCCATATTTTAAAATGTTATGTAATGTAATGTTGAAGGGATACATCTATACTCATTTATACTTATACTTATCACAATCTCCCTAATAATACTTTAGGTTTTGTGTTTACTCAAGACATCTTCAGGTCATGAGACCCACTAATCCTCCATCCAAGAAAGGGTAACCTGACATTCCATCAGAAGGTCAGTAATATGAGACCCACTAATCCACCACAGCTCCATGGGAGTGATAAATAAGTCTTTGCTGTAATATTCGGCTTTGTTCATACCAATATCCTATAGATTTTTAACTGTATTTATTTAACCAAACTTTTTGATAATCTATTCTGGATTATTATAATAAAGTAATGGAGTTTCTAGCTTAATTAGAACTGCATTTATGGACTCTGGTAGTTTAGACTCAAGGAAAACATCCCCAGCACCCAGAAACATTCTGAAGAAGTGGGTTAATGTCCATCTGTACAAGATGTCTAGTTTAGACACTCGGAAACTTTTCCCTGTAACCGGAAAAGATTCCTGGGATAAGGAATATTTCTGGGTTTGAGAAAGTCGTCTGGTTAGCCGGAAATCTCTCATCCCTGAAAGTGCTCTGCACCAATTGTTCTTGTATATCCCTTCACAGTAGTGCAGCACATACACTATTTTCTCCATATGCTGAAGGAGTTGGTGGCAATGCTCATAGCATGGGATGAAAAACTTTGCATTTCAGGCTCAGTACCATAAAAGTGAGGCAGATGACAACTGCTGCAAAATATTCAACCTTAAAGGGTTATTAATCATATGTAAATTAAATCCAGGTAGCTAAAATCTGACCCCCTCCCCCCCTGAAAAAAAATTTATTAAGGTCACACAGTAACTTGATATACATTTGAAGGCAATTAAAAGACAATTAAGAGAGAAAGAAAAGCAAGACTCTTGCATAATTGTTATCTTACCGGGGTGTCCCCTGCCTGTTCCAGGTGGAGTTGGGAGGGAGAAAAGATGATGTAATGCTCAGGCTAAATAAGGATGATTATTACAGCAATATCATTCAACAATTAAAATATTAAAATTATTCTGCATAATATTATACAATATGAGAAATTTATAGAGACAAACACCTTCTGACAAGGTCTACTTTCACAGTTTTAATATGAAAATTATTCTGAAGATTATCTAAGGTCCTTTAATTTCAATGGATACACTTCAGAAAGGATTCATGTAATTGTTCAAAAAGTGTGCTAACTCTTCCCCCTCCCCTCCCAACCCATCAAATACCACCATTATTTAAGACATCCTTATCTTTAGTAAGCCCATCTAGAATAGAAAGAAGGATGAGTGGAAGTAATGGGTGACTGATCTTGAATTTTGTTATTATCATAGATGATTGGATATACCATAATGAACACTGTCTCAACAGCCCCTTACAATGCTCTCTAAGCACAGTGGCAATACTATGATGTACAGTTTCTATGACAATATCCAAGGCCACTGATTCTCACAGGAAAAAAAAATCCTTAAATGATATCAATGTTGCCCCTTATGGCCAAAGAGACTGAAGGGCCTTTAAACAGTCACTCTACTATCATTAACCATCTCCAATCAATCAAAGAAAAGGAAACTAATTCAAGCAATCCACACATTATGTTCAATGAAAAAATGAGGGACTCCCAGGAACCTTCCACTTATGTGACTACTCTATACTCCTCAAATCCAATAAAACAGGAAAACTAGAGATGGAATCTTTCCATAATCAACCACATCCCTTAAATATAGAGATTAGCAAGCTTGAATCAGCTGTCTGAAGGCAAGAACTACAAGTCTACACCACTGAGCCATTGTACTTGCACCACACAACCCAAGTAGGCCGTGAAACAGGTCTCAGGCTTATTTACCTCATGGCCACCCAAATAGAGGTGGCCATGCTGAGAAGGCCAGTGTCAAAGGCCATTTTGAAGCCCAATACTGATCTCAATTCCACAGCCTGAGCTGGTAGACTGAGTGTGTGCAGAAGCATTTCCTCATATTCATTCTACATGATATCTTGGTGAGCTTGAAATTATGTCCTTTGTAATGGTGGTGCGTTACATCATGAAAAAATAGCCCAGGTTTACATTTTCCATCCCTTTCAAGATTTTAAGTCACTATGAAAGCTGCCCTATTGTGTCTTATTTGAAGAGCTGTTAGTCCCAAGGCCCTCATTCTACTTGGCTAATCAAGGTTCTGGAATCATCTTAGTTGCTCTGTGTGGCACCTTTTCTAGAGATCTAGAGATAGTAAGTTTTTCTGGAGGTAGGGGTTTCCATGCCTGTATACAGCAACTCAGACTGGGATGTATGAGATACTTAAAAAGTTGAAGGAGCATTTTGCTGTCTTTGTATTCAAAAGTATGCGCGTTATACAGGTAATTCCCAAATCTTGGTTGGCAATATTCACTACTGCTCCCACTTATTGCACTGCTTTTAGTAAATGATCTATCACAATACCAAGATTGTTTTCCTATCAACAGTATCCAAGAAAGTGTTATTAACAGAAAAGTTGTGATAAGAGTTGTTGCATCATTTAGCAGATTTTTTTATTATGTATATATTTACCGTATATACAGTATTACCCCGCCTAACGCGGTTTCACTTAGCGCGTTTTACCATATACGCGGTGCCTCGCCAGAGCTGAACTTTCACTTAACGCGGGTTTTTTCCACATATAAGCGGTGAGTGTCCGGCTCGAGAGCTATTTTTAGATTCGCCCCACCCCCCCACCCGCCACCCTGCCTAACTGCCTGTTTTAGCTCATAAAATTCATACAAATTACCCAGCCAGAATATAATTTACATTGCTGGAATTCTTATAATTTGGTGATCATTTTGAATATAAACATCATAGATTTTGCATTAGACATACAAATTTTAGATGTAAAGTTTATTCTGAGTAAATATGTTATCTTTTGTGAAAAATATATGACATTTATATTCAAAATATTCCTGGTCTTACAAGGAATCCAGCAATGTCAATTATATTATCCTAACTTTAGTTTGAGGTATTATTTATTACTAAAAGGTAAATATTCTGGTTTTCCCACACATCTGGTGAGACGGTTGGTGGGGGGTGGGGGGGAGGGAGGGACCGACCATCTGTTACAGTGAAGAATATATTTTTTTTTATTAACTGAAGATATTTGTTTTAGCTCATAAAATTCATACAAATTACCCGGTCAGAATATAATTTACATTGCTGGAATTCTTATAATTTGGTGATCATTTTGAATATAAACATCATAGATTTTGCATTAGACATACAAATTTTAGATGTAAAGTTTATTCTGAGTAAATATGTTATCTTTTGTGAAAAATATATGACATTTATATTCAAAATATTCCTGGTCTTACAAGGAATCCAGCAATGTCAATTATATTATCCTAACTTTAATCTGAGGTATTATTTAATACTAAATGTTAAAAACTCTTGAAGGGAGGATTGGTGGGGGGTGGGGGGAGGGTTGGGACTGACCGCGCGGTTGGAAGAGGGGGGGAGGCAAGGTGGGGTACTTTGATTGACAGATAGTGTCGTGAAGAATATTTTTTTTTTTTATTAACTGAAGATATTTGTTTTAGCTCATAAAATTCATACAAATTACCCGGCCAGAATATAATTTACATTGCTGGAATTCTTACAATTTGGTGATCATTTTGAATATAAACATCATAGATTTTGCATTAGACATACAAATTTTAGATGTAAAGTTTATTCTGAGTAAATATGTTATCTTTTGTGAAAAATATATGACATTTATATTCAAAATATTCCTGGTCTTACAAGGAATCCAGCAATGTCAATTATATTATCCTAACTTTAATCTGAGGTATTATTTAATACTAAATGTTAAAAACTCTTGAAGGGAGGATTGGTGGGGGGTGGGGGGGAGGGTTGGGACTGACCGCGCGGTTGGAAGAGGGGGGGAGGCAAGGTGGGGTACTTTGATTGACAGATAGTGTCGTGAAGAATATTTTTTTTTTTATTAACTGAAGATATTTGTTTTAGCTCATAAAATTCATACAAATTATCCGGCCAGAATATAATTTACATTGCTGGAATTCTTACAATTTGGTGATCATTTTGAATATAAACATCATAGATTTTGCATTAGACATACAAATTTTAGATGTAAAGTTTATTCTGAGTAAATATGTTATCTTTTGTGAAAAATATATGACATTTGTATTCAAAATATTCCTGGTCTTACAAGGAATCCAGCAATGTCAATTATATTATCCTAACTTTAGTTTGAGGAATTATTTATTACTATACCTGGTTTTCCCCCCCAAATTTCTCAGAGGGAAGAGCCAGCGAGTGTAGTGTGAGAGGGGGAGGGAGTCGAGTCCATTATTTGAATGGACATTAACTTGGCGACTGTATTTCTCTATTTCTCTTAAGTATTAATTGTGTGCATGTACCATCATAAAATTAAGATGTTATTTTTACTACAACATAGTTATGCGTCTTCAAAAAGTGGAGTTTGGGGTTCGGGCTGGTTTCTATTGGAATAAATCCCATATGTTCTGTTGTTCACTTAACGCGGATTTCACTTAACACGGGACCCTCTGGGTTCTATTGACCGCGTTAAGTGGGGTACAACTGTACTCGTGTATAGTTCGAGTTTTTAAGACCAAATTTTTAGGCAAAAAATTGGGGGTCGTCCTATACATGCGTAATAGTTTTGTTAGGTTGAACCCGTGCATGATGGGAAGGGTGAAGAGCAACTTTTAGCTTCAGACATGAAAAATATTTACCATTTACTGCCAGTAAACAATGGAAACGTAAAATATGCACCAATTAGTAATGAAAAGTTGTGCAGTTCCTTCAGTAAATGAAGCTCACCAACTTACAATAGGCTAAATTACCTTACAACGTGCTTTCAGTAGTCTATGTTGAAGTTCTTAGCACAGGCTAACTTATCATATCATATACGGTATCACAGTTCTCATTGATCGACAAAAAATACCGGAAATAAAAACCTTTTCGATATTTCACACTTAATATAATACCCGGTAATCTACTTCAACCTCCTATTGTTTACAACGACGCATGATGCATCACGCAGCACCAGCTCTATCAGCTAGACGGTACACGTGTTTTTCGAATCGTTTTCAGTTAAAAACTGTTACATCACATGTATATTTTACCTTAACTGTGCCTGAATGAATATATTCTCGGAAATTAATAGTAGTTTTGCTGAAATGTGATGTATTTTAATGTAAAATAGGATAAAATACATGACGAAAACAAAAGACTTTACCTAAGCTTCTGTTCGTGAGATGTTACTCGTTTTCTTAATAGTTTTCGGTTAAAATTCTGTTATATTACAATGATATTCTATTCATACAGTGCTTGATATAAAACATTCACGGAAATGTACTATTTTTGCTGAAATTACGTGCGTATTACAATGGAAAGTGGGATAAAATCGTGACGAAAGCAATGACTTTCGCTTTCTTTCGTTCAAAAGATGTTACCATAATCGCTTTTCGAATGGTTTAGTTAAAAAACTGTTGTATTACAATAATATTCCCTCCTAATTGACTTGAATAAAATACTTGAATGGAAATATACAATATTTTTGTTGAAACTACCCGCGTTTCAGTGTAAAGTGTCGTAATATTAAATGGTAAACAATTTGCCTTCGGCACTCGTGTTTCATGCACGGCGAGCCTCAGTTTATAGGACGTAGAGCGTTTTTAGTGAAGGTTTTATTGTTCCATTACCCTCAAAAATGTGGGTCGAACTATAAACGAGGAATATCGTAAATTAACGATTTCTTGGTCAAAAAATCAAGGTCGACCTATAAACGAGGGGGGGTTATAGACGAGTATATACGGTATTTATTTACAGCATTTATTTAATTTTTTTTCCACTGCTTATCAGCTTACTAGCTATTCAAGCAGTTGGTCTGTCCAGTGTTAGTACAGGAGTAAACT